TGCAATTCAGCGCGAAACGCGCGGAGCATTTCTCTCAATTAACCCCCAATAAGCTGGAATACGCCACAACAATATCTACCACCTTATATATATATATATACGAAAGCACGAAACATTTGTTTCCATACGTCAGAGAACCTTCGAATACTCATCGTGTAGTTCTTACATAATGTTCTATCTATATGATGTATATGTCTCGAAATGGCAAGGTGTAATTGTCAAGGTCATGAAATCATCTATTCAGATATGGACGTAAATCCACCCCCAATAATATAAGCTGGAATACGCCACAACAATATCTATGACTCTTTTGTGTTTTACAGTGGCTGCAAATTGTCATTCCCATTAGATTCAATGAGTTGACGTTGAAAGCATTCTGTTCATTTCTCCTACGTCCATGAATAACTGCTAGCGCGTTGCATATTTCAAACAGAATTGCCGAAATTCGCTACGCTTATGCATTTCAGCGGGAAACGCGCACACGTTGTGCGAATGAACCCCCAATAACCGGCGATAGGCGACAACCATTCTCCGCGCAACAACACAATTCATGAAGGCAGTGAAATAATGCATTTACATATGCACATAACTTGATTTTTGCAATTCCATACCATTAGTCACGAAGCAGGGATAGGTCATACGATTCATATTTAAAACGTCATTGGCGAAATTCGCTCGGCTCATGCAATTCAGCCCTAAACGCGCGGAGATGTTCTCTCAATGAACCCCCAATAAGCGCGAATAAGCGACAACAATATCTATGACGTTATATATATTTCTTATATATGTATATCAATGTTATTTGACATGTCATTGTTAAGGTCATGAAATCATCTATTCACATATCCACATCACTTACTTTCTCAAATGCCGTAGCATTAGTAACGAAGCACACACAGGTCATAGCATAACATCCTGTTCATTCTCCTGTGTTGTCCGTCGTCGATGTCATGTGTGTGGTTTGACGTGACTTCCGTTGCTGGAATTTCACCGCTCAATATATATCACATCATATATATGTCATATGTATCTATATCCATGTTATATCGAATTCCGTATGTGAGCGCATTCTATCGTTCGCAGAAATCGAAATTACCCTTACTGTTGCCAAAATGGCGGAAGCAGAACATTGCCGCTCTATGCACATCAACCTTTCATTACCTGTCATAAAAATACGATCACAAATTTTACTTCCCATCATGTACAAACCACCAATGGCCACACGGATAAATCCATATGCAAGCCGGCCTATAGTATAGTATAGTTTACGTTTCGCAGAACTTGCCTTCGTCGAATTATACCAGTCAATATATATGCCCTTATATATATATCCTACATATATATCTATATGAATGTCATATGTAATTGTTAAGGTCATGAAATCATCTATTCACATATGCAGGTAAGTAATTTCGCGAAATTTGCGCCTTGCCGCGGAACTGCGCGCAAGATCTGCGCTCAGCGCTTTGGATTAACACCTCCTTTCGGCAACGCTTCTCTAGTATCCCGTCTCATCTGGAAGTGCTTTAAGGCAATTCCATCTCCCTTCCTAAAGTTTGGAGACTTTCGTTTCTTTACAGGTGTACTGCGCCACGGACTTCTCTCATGCGCTAAAGGCCGGTCCTGCATCGCCTCCCTCCTGGTGTACGGCAGATCCCTAACCGTAGCCGTATCTCGTGCAGGTGCCTGTGAAATTTCTGCTTCCCTGTCAAGTGCGAAATCTAAATTCATACTACCGTTCTCTCTCTCTTTCAGAATGCTACCGTGGTGTTTGATCGGACTCTCCCAGTTTCTCTGTACGCTTTCCTGGCTTATTCCAGCGTGGGGTAGGGGTGTGTGGTCTCTCTGTCCCCTTTCCTGTTCATATTCTTCCCCGCTTTCCTGTAATCCCTTTCCTGATCCTGTTATCTTCTCCCTATAATCCTTGGCGGCCTCCTGAGATCTCTTCCTATCCATAGAAGACTCATCCGGTGCGGATACGCCATCGTGACTTGTCGTCGGTACCTGTCCCCTTCCAAAAATAATGAACTCACCCATACTTCCCCGTTCACGCATCGGTGTCGATGACTCATTCGCTTCCTTGCCTTGCACCTCGGTCCAGCCATTCTTTGTCGGCGTCAGAAAGTCCCGTATCCTTTTTATAAAACTCGACATGTTTTTATCCTTTCTCGTTCACTATTCGTCTATAACACTGGTACGCTTGCTATTGCCACTCCTTCATGTGAACGATCCCGGACGAGCCCCCATTTAACCTGTAGTGGCCCTAGGGGTGGCCGACTACGGTTCGACAGACGTTGTTTCGTAACGCGTGCCCCAGTAGTGGGATTCAGTGTTCGCTCCCGCCGGTGTCACAGGCAGGACGGTGATGTCGCGTAGCAGATAACAGGTAGCACCAAACACAGTGAGATTTGGTTAACGCACGGTTTATATAGCTTTTATTGCGTGTTACTAGTGTACAAATGATTCCCCTGCATTCGTATATGCAGCGGACCTTCTATCGATCTCGTCTAATATTTACGCGTCGCCGGTAATTTCGTCTTTTTCCCTCACGTTCGTCCTCGCCTCGCGTGGACCTAAGCAGTCTCCCAGGTATCTCCCTCGCAGTCGCTCCTAGCTCTACCTAACCAGAATGCCGTTCTTCGCTGCGCTCGTTTTATTCCCCTCTTCCGTTCGGCTCCGGTTTACACCTACCTGAAAACCTGGATATCTATCCATCCTCGTCTCTTCGTCCTCGGCTGCTTCCTCTCCTTCTCCTTCTTCTTCTTCTTCTTCTTCTTCCTAGACCTGTACCTAACTGCTTGCTTCCTCGTTCTCCTCGTCCTCGGCTGCTTCTTCTTCTTCTTCTTCTTCCTAGACCTGTACCTAACTGCTTGCTTCTGCTCGGTGCCGGCTCCCTTATATACTTAGCTGGCAACACCCCCCCCCTACGGCTGTTTCGCTTGGTGGTGCAAGCCGTACCTGGCCGTACCGTGATGACTCACCCGATGTCGCAATCTGTGGCTGGCACAGCTAATTGCATCATCTCATGCAACCCGCTCCTGTAAATATTCCTTGTTTTCGCCCGACAGGCAGCAGCACCAGCAGTAATAGCATTATCCAAGATGGCCGCGCCCAGGTGTCAATATGCTGTCTATATTTTATCCTGCCTTAATTTAGTCTATATATATATGGTTATTCTCTCTATATAATACGGTGAGTTCAGCCTGTCCATCCTGATCTAGTCTACTACTCCTGTAAGTTATACACCCCCGAAATCTCCAAAGCCTTGCTTCTAAGCCGTGTTTATGCGGTGGCAGAGCCATAACATAAACGTAATGAGCCATAAACAGGAATATATACCAGTGCAACGATGGAAAACTTCAAATCGTTTCAAGCTTATCAGTAAGTATATATTGTTTACAAACGTAATTTTGCCAAAATCTTTACTTGTAACCATGCAAAGTGGCTCAGTGAGAGTGTCAGTGTTATGGCTCAGTGTTATGAGTAATGCACAGTCGATACAGCACTGCATGTCAGCAGTGTCAGCAGGTAATACAATTTTTGTGCTATGGTACATCTCTCATTCTATGGTTCTACGGTATATAATTTAGTAACATTATTCATTATTGACTAAAATATTGTAAATGTCTGCATGTAACTGGTCCAACATGCATAAAAAAGTAAATGTACTCATAATTTCTATTTGTGTTCAGTGTAGATCAGTGGACATATGTACCACGTCATCACAGAAAAGGTGAAATTACGCCATCTCAACGATTGCGAGACAAACCTCACCAACACTGGGTGTACATGACATGTGTATAGTCAACTGGGGTTGTGTATTGTGCCCGCTGCATGTGCATGGCAGTGTATGCATACTTCTGTAATAGTTTAGAATTATAGATCATTTCTAATAAGTATCTTATATGCGTTGCCTACAAATCATAGTGACCACACTGAGAAAATTCAATTAATCATCATGCAGGCAGATTTAGTCACCTAGACGTCACTATAACTACTTAAACTTCGAAAAAAAATTTACAAGTCTCTTGCTACTACAGGCGCGGATTTAGGCTGGCTTGCACCGGTTTCCAGAAACCGGTCACAGGCCTCAAAATTCACCCGAATGCACCAAATATAGCCTAATTTTTAAAAAATTCCCAGGAGGGCATGCCACCAGACCCCCCTAGCTGCAGAAGAACATATGGAAACTGGTCACCCAAACCCTCTGGATCCGCCCCTTGACTAAGTAGTAATAGTTTCAATTGCACATATGTATAAAAAAAAACAACGTAAAGATTTAAATCCAATATTGACACACCAACCACATTTATGCATACCTACATACATGACTAATTATGTTTTCAATTTAAACAAATGCCAACGATTATCTATCATGTTGACATGTATTATGCAACAATACTCGTGCCTACATGTACGTATTCTCATTACATTGACAGACTTGGCAAAACATGCAGCCACGTAGCGGCCCTGCTATTCAAAGTCGACGTCATCAACTAGTTGGGCATGTGAATGGAATAAATTATTTCGCAAAGAAGTAAGTATACTAAAAATAAATATCATTTGTTTCTCAATTGGCCGACCTACTTCGTAAATGTTATAAAAACATATTCCCATTACACTATTAAAATGATTTATGTATTTTGACAGTATGTCTAATCGCTTACTACATCGTTGCTTAAAAATACATTATCTATTATCTACAAATCTATTATTATTCACTCCTGATTATATTGTAGTAGTTTATTTTAATAGGTGCATTTTATCTTATGTTACACTTACAGCCAGTTACCATCGCAGATTCACAGGACATTTTAAAAGTTGCCAGAAAGAAGAATGTAACTTCAGTGTCTGGAACAGAAAAAACTCTCAGCTTTCGAGTGATGCTGTTCTCCTCTCCTTGAAGCAGGCATGTTCCAACGCCATGTTCTTTGACACGATCCACCCTGTCGGCGATGATGGCGAGGAAACTGACAGCGCTCACAAGGAGCAGTTCGAGACCTATTGGTCCCCTTATCTCACGTCCTTTTATATTGACTTTATTGTATGGATAAAATGCGAGTTGCACGTGGAGAAGATTACGTACGATGCAAAGTTCTGTCGGCGAGCAGTACGTATACTACTGCTATAGTACTCTGTAGGGATTTGTTCATGCGACACATACTTCCAGAGATTACTTATACTATTAATCTCTACGATACTATTAGTCTCTACGATACTATTAGTCTCGCTAGCCCTTCTTCATTGCCCGGTAAAGTGTGAAACACTTCCACGACAGCCTCGCGTGGATTTGTAACAGACCTGTGTAAGAAATTTGCAATCGAACATGTTACAATAAGATGTTTACTAAAGGCCGGCGCACACCTAAAAAGATTTTCCCAGAAATCGGTCTGATTAAAAAATCTCTTCATCGTCTGTAAAATCGGCTCAGCGCAACGCCTTCCGATAAACACCTGCACACCTACGATAAAATTGATTATTTTGTTCTGCAAGAATGCATTTTGAATGTCATGTGACACGGGCACGTTCAGCTATTGGCTGTTCCATATTTATCGTAGAGGATTTTTTTGAGTTCACACGCACACTACAAAATCTTGTCGGATTACAAAAAATCGCTTCAAAATAATCAGTTCAAAATCAAACATGTTTGATTTGGAACGATCACCCGATAAAAATAATCGTAAGTAAAATCGTCTACAAATGAACGCGCACACCTACCCGATATTGGCTGATTTTTATCGGGCCTATCAAATCGCGTGATAAATCGGCTGGTTTGTGCCGGCCTTAACTATACCGACATCGTTAGCTAAACGTAACTGGGGTTGCGTACGGAAATGTTTCAAGAACGTCGACTCTTGCACCTCCACGCGAGTCCCAGAAGCGATCGTGTGTGGAACACGAAACTAATTACACACCAACTACACGCTAACTACACACCAATTATACGGCACCCTATGATATCCTCCAGTCCGTACTCTACTCTAGATCTGCTGTGGAAAACAAACAAACAAACCGTTGATTAAACTGCGCCCGCTCGTCGCGCGTGACAGGCTCCTGCTGTCGTATACCTGCCGTCTCCATGGGCTCATCAAACTCTCCCGGTCCGAGGCCCGTAATCTAGCTCTCAAATCTGAGACAATTCCGCTTCAACCCGCATAATGCGGATCGAGCGTATCTTAGCTGACCGTGAGATTCAGCCGTACGTTGTGTCATTCAGTGACACATGACTAACTATACCTGCTAACATCCACACATACATACACACATAGTATCTTGTAAGCTTGTGAAACAACTGTGTCGCCTTTATTATTATAAATATTGTTCCGCTCCGCAAGTAGCCTATAAGCATCTCAATAACATAACATGCACCTTTTGGATAAGGGATAAGAAACGTGGTGCATGTGTATACAGGCAAATTGCTTGAGTATTTCACTATCACATTTGTATATTATACGCTGTGGTTTGAAACTATCGTTTTTAACTTTACTTACGACTAGATGTCAACACCGTTTGTTTTACTCACCGTTTAGGTATTTCAGTCTCGTTCAGCTCTTGCTCCTTGTAAGTTGCGTACTTGTTCCGTTCGTACGACTGCATTCTTCCTTGCTTCCTCTTTGCCGGTCATGTATATTATAGCGTGTGCCTTACGTTGTTTTGCTTAACCCAGTCCGTTGTCACGAGCACCAAAAATGTAACGTAGGTCTCTACATCAAGGTTTGAATGAAATAGTTTAGAGTAAAAGAATCATGAAGCGTATAGAATTTGTGTTCACTGAAAGAATATATTGTTTACAAATATACAACCGGCCTCTCGTATACGTCCGTTCCCGTCTTGTCCTTCAGTCCAAACCCCAAACCAAGATACAAAGAAATGCGCACACGCGCATACGCGCGTGTGCTCGCTTCCGTGGTCACAACCCGACTCCCGACTCCTACCCTCTCTCCACTCGATCTGCACCCCTATTTCACAACCACCCGTGAAACTGCCTAACCTAACCACGCTTGTCTACTTGCCCACTCAACCTAGTTATAAACTACATGCTAACTACCTGACTCTACCCATCCTAAGCTTACTAATGTATATCTGCACACCACATGTTACACACGCACGCACGCACGCACGCGCACACGTACACACGCGCACACGTAGCGATGGACAGACGTAGACGCATGCACGCACGCACGCGCACACGTACAGACGCACGCACGCACGCGCACACGTACAGGCGCACGCACGCACCTGCTTCGACGTCTGCTGGTGTTGTTGTACGAGGTTATCAAAGATGGATCCGTACTCCTCGTGTATTCGCTGCATCTCGTTAATGTGATTAGCCACTGCCTCCATCTCCTTCAACGCCTCTGCAACACACAGTTACACGCATGTATATATATATATATATCCGCGTGTGTGCGGAGGCGCACGACCGAGCCCGCACGAACCTAGGGAAAGCCGCCGAGCGACAGCGGCGAAACTACGATCGCAAAGTACGGCCGTGCAACATGGGGGTCAAGAAGTGGGTGTGGTATTTCTATCCCCCTGATGATATTAAATTGGGAAGGGCCGTGGAGAGGTCCCTACCTAGTAGTCCGCAGCCGCGGGAATCTTCGATGAATACAGTGCTCCGAAGGAGCAGGCACTAAGGTAGTCAACGTCGCATACACTCTACGTACTCATTTGGGCATTGGGGCATTACGTCGTCAGTCGGCGGCGGCTACATCAGGTCGATTGGCGTCCCTACTTCTCGACCAAACATCATCAGATTAGGACTCACCCCTGTGCTCTCTTGCGCAGTGCCCCGATATGCGGCCATCACGCAGGGCAGGTGATCATCCCAGTCGTCACGGTAATCATCCACTACTGTAACGGAGCTGGTTCCACCACACCTTATTAATTACTGTTAGTTTGGCATAAGGCCATGCGGGTCGCGTTGGTGACAATTCAGGGGAATTTTCGGTTCACACGCGATGCAGGCTGAAGGTAATAACAGAAGCAATAAGGTAGCTAACGACATCAACAGGTGGGCCGGAGTGCCGGCACGTCGTAGGAAGGTCGAACAACAAGTCCGGCTAGATTTAAGAGAGCTGGGAGAGGGAGCAAAAGGCACTTCTCCTCTGTTGGGTTGACTGTCACGTATCTTTACGCTTTCAGCCTTACGTTTCTGCTTGTCACCTGTGTTTGCATTATGTCGAATACAACTCTTTGTGGTACGTTACTTTACTAGTTCGTGTTTGACTTCTTATCTTACGCTGTTTCTTTGCTCTACTCTTACTGCTCTTGTACCTCACCATAGAAGTACGAGGTTACACTACATTAGCCAACATCGACTGCAGCGTGGGGTTAAATCTTTCCCCCAGTCCGTCCGACTGCGAATGGTAGGGGGTCGTTCGGGTCTTTTCTATCCCTAGAAGCTCGCATACCCCCACAAACAGCTACGACTCAAAGTTCCTTCCTTGATCAGCGTGCAAGCGTTGCGGCATCCCGAACCTGGCGAAGAAGTGTGTGACTAGACAGTCCGCGGTAGTCTTGGCCTTCTGGTCGGGTAAGGCGTACGCCTCTGTCCACTTTGTGAAATAATCACAGATCACGAGGATATGTTGATTACCCCCGCGTTGAGTGGAAACGGTCCTAGGAAGTCGATTGCCACTCTCTCCATGGGTGCTCCTACGAGGGCTGCTGCTGGGGCGCTGCACGTCGGCTGCGTGTCACTTGCCTTCGGGTGCATACCTCGCACTGCCGACACCAGCGCTGCACATCACCTCGCATCCCTGGCCACATGAAACGCTGCCGAATTCGCTCCACTGTCTTCATGCTGCCCAGGTGCCCCGAAACGCGACCTCCATTTTGCATGGCAAGAATTTCTCGCCGTATCTCGGGTGGCGCGACAAGCTGCAACCGCTGCAATCGTCCTCGCCGTTCCCTTATCCACCGGTGATATAACAACCCTTGATGCACCTGCAACCTATCCCAGCTGTGCCATAGGGGTTTCCCCTTCCCACGTGCGGCAGTCTTTTCATGGGCAGGCTGATTCTTTGTCGCTTTCCGCCACGCCAGCATTTGCCCCAGCGTCGGGTCGTCCTCCTGCCATCTCCTCATTTGTGCCTCCGTCCATGGGGTGAGACCCGCAGGGTCCGCCCCTGCACTTCGGATCTTCCCTAGGGGTATCTCTTGGCAGTCGGGACAGTCTTCCCGTTTACATGGACGGCGGGGAGCTTGCCAGGACAATCCGTCGGCGTTCCAATGCAGCCGTCCCGCGCGATGTTCGATGCGGAGTTCGAAGGTTCTCAGGAAGGCGATCCACCTCGCCACCATCCCTTCGGGTTCCTTAAAGTTCAAGAGCCATGTCAGGGACGCATGATCAGTCCGCACCAGGAAAGGTCTTCCCTGTAGATAGTGTCGGAACTGCTTCACCGCGGCCACGACCGCCAACAGTTTCCAATGCGTGGCGCAGTACCCTCTCTGGGCGGTGGATAGTGTTTTGCTTGAGTAGGCGATGGCCCACTTCTCCTCATCCTGCTCCTGAAACAGCACCGCACCCAGGCCGGTCCCACTGGCGTCAGTGTCTACCGTGGACATTCCCTCGGCACTGGGATAGGCCAATATGGGGGCCCCCTGTCACCTGCCGAATCAGTTCCCGGAAGGCTTTCTCACATTCCTCCGTCCACTTAAAGGCCTGTTCCTTGCGGGTTAATGCCGTCAAGGGTCCTGCAATGGTGGCGAACCCCTCGATAAATTGTCGATAATAGTTCGCGAATCCAAGAAAGCTTCGCACGTCGCTCACCCCCGTCGGTCGCTCCCAGTCCTGTACGGCCGCTATCTTCGTCGGGTCGCGGCGAACTCCTTCTCGGGACACCACGTGTCCCAGGAACATCACGCTCTGCTAAAACAGGCTGCATTTGCTGGGTTTTAGCTTCAAGCCGGCCTCCTGGAGTCGTTTAAACACATGTCGGAGGTTATCGAACGCGTGGTCAAAGGTAGCGCCGAACACCACTACGTCGTCTAAGTAGACGAGGCACTCCTTCCACTGGAGGCCCCTGAGAACGAGCTCCATCAAGCGCTCAAAGGTTGCCGGGGCATTGCAGAGGGCAAACGGCATCACCCGGAAACTTATAGGCCTCCATCACGGCAAAGGCAGTCTTGGCGCGTCCCTCGGGTTCATATCCACCTGCCAGTACCCACTAGCCAAGTTCAGAGGGGAAAACCACGCTGCCCGGCAAGGGAATCGAATGTGTCGTCGATTCTAGGGAGCGGATACGCATCCTTGCTAGTTAACTCGTTTACCTTGCGGTAGTCTACGCAGAACCGTACTGACCCATCCTTCTTCGCCACGAGAACTACCGGGGATGCCCATGCGCTGGTGCTTGGTCGCACCACTCCCTGCGTGAGCATCCGATCTAGCTCTTGATCGAGAGCCACCTGTCTCCCCCACGGGCATCTTCTCGCCGGCTGCTTCCGTGGTCGGTGATCTTGTGTGTCAATCTCATGCTGCAAAATCGATCTCGTGTGTCGATCTCTGCTCAAGCCTGTTCTCCAAAGCGCGTTGCCAGGCCCCGCAAACAACTGTGTATTCTCTTGAATCACGGCCGCCATCTCTTCTCGCTGCTCCTCCGTCAGCTCTCCATCCACGCCATCTATCAATGGCTGCAGGTGCTCGGCTAGCCTACCGCCAGGTTCTGGGGTTGCATTCGGGTCTTCCCCTCGGGTTGTCCCGACCATGGCAATGCCCTCAAGCCGGGATAACTCCATGCCCTTTGGGATGACTACCTTGCTCGCTCCGACGTTGACTATCGAGAGAATTACCCGTCCACCTCGGGTGTCCACCAAATATCGGGCCATCACCAGCTCACCACCTAGTCCTCGCTCTCGGAATTTCCGCGTCGGCTCTGCCACAGCTAGGCATACTCTGGGCCAGCGTCTTCCTCACATGGTCCCGAGGACGACAGCTCCGTGTCCAGAATGGATGCACACCTTCTTGGCTGACCACAGTTGCCGGGCTTCCGTCGGCTTGCCACCCTGTACCACGTGAGTCACTCCGTCGATCACCAAGTACCCACGGCCAACGTCAAACTGACATCTTTTGCGACACAGGAAGTCCATTCCTATCACACCCCAGCTGTCTCTCATCCTGACCACCAATACAGCATGAAGGAACTTCTGACACCCCAGACCTAGCTCGACGCGGCATTCCCCGGTTGTCGGCAGCGCCCGGTGCTGCACGTCCATCACGCCCGCTATCGTAGGTCGCAGTCTCACAGCCCCTGCGGGAGGCTCGCAAACGTTGATGCTAACAGCAGCGCAACTTCGGCGCCTGTGTCCACCAAGAACTCGACAGGATTTCCTGCCACTTCCAATGTCACTCTCCATGAGGGCCGATTCTGCACTGACCCTACCAATCTTCGTTCCCTACGTCGCCTCCAGCCGCACCGTAGGGTCGTCCCACACCTCGTTGTTGCAGGCGCGGGCAGTGCCGACTGAAGTGGCCCCGCTCCTCACACTCGTAACACCGGCTACCTCCTCCTCTAAGTCTGCTCTGCTTGTCAGGTCCCCGCGGTGCTTGGCGGGCCGCGTTCGACAGCTCCCGATCACTCACCAGTTCCTTGAGAAGCCGTGCGATCTCCTTCATTTCCTTACTCGCCTGATCTTCAACCCCGAGCAGTTGGGGGGGGGGTGGCCGCGGCTACGGGGATGGGTGGCTCCACCTCGCGTGCGATGCCCTCAAAAATCTCGGGTGCTGTAATCGATTTACGCGTTGCTCGTCTTTTTCTTACCATTGCCTCGTAGTCTGCTGCGCATTCGGCGACCTTTTCAATCGTGACGCACCTCTGGCCCATGACGTACAGCTCACGGCCCTTTGTCGGCAGCTCTCCCTTTAGCCGCGCACCAGCCACTTTCCGATCTGTGCATCGTTCATCTCTGGCATAGCCAGCTTTCCTAATTTGCGCAGCTGCTGCGCATATTCGGGCCAGCTTTTATCCTCGCTGCCGCGTCGCCCCAGAAGTGCGGCTTGACTCTGGGTCTCTCTCTGATCGGGCCCGTAACGAGCGTTCAGCGTTTCCCTCAGCTGGCTTTCACTCTGTCGACCTGCCACCTTGGAGAGAATTCCCACTGCGGGCCAGGCAAGTCTGCTCAGTAATGCCTCTAGGGGTTCCATTCCTACCCTCGAGAACGTGTCTAGTCGAGTTAGGCATCCTGGCAGGTTAGGGCAGACGGCTGCGTCGGGTCCTACCTCGGGGAATGCCGTCCCTGGTGGGTGCCGGAGTAGGCGTCTCTCGCCTTCCCTTTCCTCCATCGCTGTCCAGTCGTCACTCTCATGGCGATGCTCATGTCGGCGGTGTCTCCTTCTCTCACATTCCCTGCACTTCGGTTCCTTCCTTGCCGTCGGGGGCCCACGACAGTCACTCTTCTCACACCAACTCGACTCGGTGCTTGTCTCACGTGACCACTGTCTCCTTGCTTCGGGATCTAGCCCTGATGCGGGCGCTCCTGACGGTGATGGCACTTCGGGTGCTACGGGGGCTCCCGACGGTGGTGGTACTTCGGGTGCTGCGGGGGCTCCCGACGGTGGTGGCACTTTGGCTGCTGCGGGGGCTCCCGACGGTGGTGGCACTTTGGGTGCTGCGGGGGCTCCCGATGGTGGTGCCCTCTCTCTCTCTGTAGCGGCTTCTAACATTTCCAGCAGGCGGGTCGTCCGGCGTCTTTCCTTGCGTCTCCACGCTCTCTCTTCTTCTTCTTCTTCTTCTTCTTCTTCTTCTTATTCTCGCTCTCTGCTCTGCCCATACCCTTCCATCAATTCACTCCTCTCTAGATTCACCCCTCCTGGCTGGCTCAAGTATCCCTGATTCCTCGGCTTGTCCCCTAGGAACTCCTCGGTCTGCTCCGAATCCGTCGTGCTCTCCCCTACCTCCTGTATGTGCGCGAGCGGTCCCTCTATCTCACTGGCAAGCTCTTCCTCGCCTCCACGTGTGCTCCTTGTCTGTCGTCTCGATATTGCCATCCTGCCTGCAGAAATCCTGGTCTGTACGGCGCCAGTGTAACGTTTTTCCTTCCTTTGCCGCCTTCTCGCCCTCTATCCGTGATCGTATGCTAAGTTCGGGCGTGGCCGAAGTTCTCCTCGGGAAGTTACGTCTCAAACCCAGATTCTACCAGGACTCGAGGACGAAACGAACAGCAACAAGAGACGCGCAGAACAACACTTTTATTGACACACTACTTACTACACGGCAGGGTGGTCGCCAGTTACAGCAGCAATCCACTCTCTCCTACCAGTACTATGCTGAGTGCTGGCGCACAACACGTCGCCACTGTTACTCTACTTCTGCATCTCACCGCGTTGGAGATTCACTCCGCTCTCACTGCGCGCGCGACGATGCTCTCCTCGCTTACACAACAATTACAAACGTCCTAGCCATCCGGCCTTTAATTAGCACTACAAAGTAGATACCGTGCTGATAACACGTCCGCCCTCTTCTACTGTTGGCCGTCAAGAGACCGAGCACGCTCGCCTGACATCACAATGTCATGCGCGCACACGCTCTCTTGCTCGCGCCCCCTATAGCATTAATTCCTGCATGATCACAATAAATATATAACTGTAACGTTGACGATAGTACACGGAGATGACGGGCAACACACGGGCAGGATCGACTTCGCTACACTTGGTTGACTGGTCGTGGGCGATACTATCTGCGAGAGGGGATGATAGGTCATAGCATTGATATTTAAAACGTCATTGCCGAAATTCGGTCGGCTCATGCAATTCAGCGCGAAACGCGCGGAGCATTTCTCTCAATTACCCCCCAATAAGCTGGAATACGCCACAACAATATCTACCACCTTATATATATATATACGAAAGCACGAAACATTTGTTTCCATACGTGAGAGAACCTTCGAATACTCATTCAAACCACCCAACAAAACCACGCACATTTCTGCTCACTGCGTACAGCCTCAGCGCGGCACTTAAGAAAAGTAAGGGCTGGGAGATATTTGTAAGGGCTAGTCGATTTTACACGTCACTAACCCTGCTGGCTAGTGAACATTTCAGGTTAGTTTGCATTAGTGACTTGACGCTAGTCCGTCAGTTGACGCTAGTCAGTCAGTTGACGTTAGTCACTGCTTCGTTAGTGAGGCAGTGATATTATATAGACACGAACAGTGTGTGCTCTGACACTCGGCACTTCCTTTTCTGCAACATTTCATTCGCAATATATTTCCTGTGAACTTTATATTTCCTGTGGAGCCTGCTCATCAAATGTCTATGTGGCAGGGACGATTTGGATAATTCCTCAAAACGCACAGTAATGTACTCATTGGAAACGGCATCACTACAAAGCGCTTATAGCGCCATCTACGGTGACTACGGTCACTACGCCCTCTCCGGCATTTATGTCATTTCATGTACCCAACATCAGCGCTTCATTGCTTAAATGTTGTCGCGCGACGTCAGCTGTTTCCATTAACATTTCATATGTAACGCTTATCTATGATATTCAGTAAAATTGAGTAAAGTACTCTCACGAGTAACGGGCCCGCTGTAAAACTTCTATGACTTCATATCATAATAATTACCCGTACGTACGTACTTGCTAAGTATTAGTCTACTTTCATCACACCCTGCTAATTTGCACACAGTGTATACGCAATACGTTTTTCTTCTACTTTATATTCATGTTCGTCGTAGAACGGTTAGTTTACGTTTCAGCTGACCTCAAGGTCTCGGCGGCAAACTCT